AAATTTTTCCCTTAAAAAAAAAAAAAAAAAAGATAACAGAATGCCAACTTAAACCAGACACACACATATTTATCACGTTTTGAGGAAAAAACGGAAAGGAACAAAAGGAAAGAAACAAAAGAGTTAACAATGCAAGACAAGAATTTAGAGATTCTGTACACAATGTTATTTATTTTTATATAATTCTGTAAATGTCATTCGCTTCTTCAAAGATTTTAAAATTAATTCCTATACAGTGAGAACTGTTCTCCTCCATCTATTTTAGAATGACCTTATGAAAACGATCACAGAAGAGAAATCATCCCATTTATTTTAAAATTAAGTTTTCACCTTAAAGGATAGTGAGAAGGCTTTTTCAGTTTTTCTACTTTCAATTATCAATACACAAATACACACATAAAATGATAAACATTTACACCAACACACCCTCTCCTCACAATAAGGATAACTGAGGCTATAAAGTCAAGTTAAGACTGTGCTTTCTTTTTAATGCACTGATATTCCACTAGAGGGAAGCATTATGCTAAAAGCCTAAGGAGTTTTGATTCATTCACTGTTTCTCCTAAAGGCATCTTCAAAGGCATTTCCTCTCAGTAATATCACCCTCCCAATTTCTACAGGTAAGCTTGAATTGTTTCTAGATAGGCTCCAAACTGTATGATGTATTATATCTACACGAAGTTGGTAACGTGGCAGCACAGGAATTGGCATTATGCATGTTCTTATTTAGCATTTCTGTTAATCTGGAAACCAGCAAACAACACATATATTCTATGAACAAAAATATGAACAAAAAACAGTAACAAGGGCAAGAAAATATTACTAGCGGCAGAGCTAAATCCTGCACTCAATGGCAAAAATATTCATTTAGTAGCATGAGATCAAGGTCCTGAGGTTTTTAAGTGTGAAAAGGACAACAAAAAAAATAATCTTGGGAGAACACAGGGTGGGGGGGAGAACCACCTGAGAATTAATTCTATAGCTGGGAGAAACATGGAAAGAAGGAACACAGAAAATCCTAAGTATAGACAAATCAAATAAAGAACTGCTACTTCTCTGTTGAGTCCTGCAAAGCTTAGAGGTTGTCTTATTAAAAAAAAAAAAAAAACTTTTAAGATTTTAAAAAATTTTGTCAAAACAAAGCAAGAAATACATATAAAAGAATGAGGGGAAAAAAAAGGAGAAAGCAAACAATGGGAACAAGTGATTAGGTTTTAGAGAACTAAGTAGCATGGCTTAGTTGAGCACACAGTCAAACTGCCTTCACCCTAAGTCAAACTTCATAGACTTGACCAAACTTTTTCTTTCAGCTACTGATTGTAATGAGTTGTACTATGTGTTGGGCAACTTTCCTTATAAACTCACATCTTTGCACAAGGCTGGGTGGAAATTAGCTATTCTATTTAGGTACACTCCATTAGGAGTTACTGAATCAGGTAGCCTGACAGAGTCAAGGCTGTTGCAGCTCCATTCTCCCAGGTCCAGCCAGTAGCAAGGCTGAGCATGTATTTTTAGTAGGCACACATACACAAAATACATATACACATGGCCAGCCATGCATATCAACAGACAAAGTCATACGCAGATGAGGAAGAACAATCCATCCTCATGAGCAGAAAGTTGAGCAAAAGTGGCAGAAGACCTGCATGGATGAACAAGGAACTCCTGGCAAAACTCTAAACATAAGGAAGTATGGAGGTCCTGCACCTGGGCTTGAATAACCCGATGCACCAATACAGGCTGAGCACCAACTGTCTAGAAAGAAAGCAAATTTACAGAAAAAGACCTGGAGGTCCCGGTGAACAAGTTGAACAGGAGGCAGAAATGTACTTTTGCAGTAAAGGCAAACAACTGCATAATGATCTGTGTTAGTAAGAGTGCAACCAGTGGATTGAAAGAAGAGATTCTTCCCCTTTACTCAGCACTCACCTGGAGCGCTGAGTTCAATTCTGAGCTCCTCAGTACAAGATAGACGTGGACATACTGAAGTGAGTACAGTGAAGGGCCAAGATGGTCAGAGCTGGAGCGCATAATGTACTAAAAGAGGTTGAATGAGATTTGTTATCCTGGAGAAGACTCAGGGGACTCCTTACTGATGTCTGAAACTACCTAGTAATGGGATGTAGAGGAGATGGAGCCAGTCTCTTCTCAGAGGTGCACAGTGAGAGACAAAGGGCACAAGCTGCAACATGGGAAATTCTGAGAGGAGGAATTTTTTCCCTATAAGGACTATCAAATGTTAGAACAGAGGCTCAGAGAGGTTGAGACTTCCATCCTTGAAAGCATTCAAACCTTGACTGGACATGGCCATGAACAACCTGCTCTAGTAGCCCCTACTTTGAGGTAGAGGTTGGACCAGACAGCTCCAGACATCCCTTCTTACCCAAGTTATTCTGTGATTCCATCAACTGTGCTTTATAGGTCTGCAATGACTTTTGAAGTCTATAAGGGTATATGTAAAGCTGTATTATCATTTGTTTTTGCTTCAATCAATGTTTTCAAGTACTGTTAGTGATGTTTAGGCACTTTACTATGAGAAATAAGCCTGATAACATAAAAGGGATTTAAGACTAAAGAGAAATAATATTTTGGATACTTCAGGTGCAGGTTGGGTTGGTTATGGGGGGGGAGGGGAAGGGGAAGCTTTGCATTGTGAAGCCAACAGGATGACCACACTCATGAGACTAAGAAAGAGCCCAAATAGATGATTTGCTGAGACCAACTGTATGAGGCTCCACAAGGCCAAGTGCCGGGACCTGCACTTCAGTCACAACCACCCCATGCAGCACTACGGGCTTGGGGCAGGGTGGCTGGAGAGCTGCACGGCAGAAAAGGATCTGGGGGTGCTGGTCGAGAGCCAGCTGAACACGAGCCAGCAGTGTGCCCAGGTGGCCAAGGGCCTCCTGGCTGGTATCAGGAACAGTGGAGCCAGCAGGAACAGGGAAGGGATCATCCCCCTGCACTCGGTGCTGGTGAGGCCGCCCCTCGAATACTGTGTTCAGCTTTGGGCCCCTCACTACAAGAAGGATGTGGAGGTGCTGGAGCGTGTCCAAAGGAGGGCAGCGAAGCTGGTGAAAGGGCTGGAGCACAGACCTTACGAGGAGCCGCTGAGGGAGCTGGGGCTATTTAGTCTGGAGAAGAGGAGGCTCAGGGGAGACCTTATCGCTCTCTACGAATACCTGACAGGAGGGTGAAGTGAGGCAGGGCTCGATCTCTTCTCCTGAAGAGCTACCGAAAATAGGACAAGAGGAAATGGCCTGGAGTTGTGTCGGGGGCGCAAGAAACGTGTAGATGAGGGACATGGTTTAGGAGGCAGGGTGCTGATGGGTTTATGGTTGGACTTGATGATCTTGAAGGTCTTTTCCAACCATAATGATTCTATGATATGTGGCATAGCAGGCAAATGGTTGGGTCATACATTTGTGGAAAGCACAGAAGTACAAGCCAAAAACTAAGAAGCATATGCAGTGGTAAGTGTGAAAGAATGGGGGTAGGAGTTGGGAAGAGGAATGGAACAAGTTTAAAGCTTGACTAAGGCAGGCGTGACAGTTCTTGATTCCTTTTTATAATAAAGGACAGAATAGGTCCTATATTAAAGACACCACTTTCCTAATAATTTTTTTCCTTGTAAGCAGTTGTAGTTTCTATGGGTCTGTTATCTCACTGAAAACAGATTCTCTGTAACAGGAGCAGTTATGGTTTCCTTTGAGCAGGAGCAGTTGTGAAGACAATCTCCTGTAAGCTGCATTTCTAGTGCAGGAAAGTGTTTGAGAATTCCTCTGGGTAGAATAATGCTAATATTTAAATGATTCAGTGTAGGGTTTTACATTCTATTATGATTTTTTCCAGTACATTCATGTTACTTTGGGTTCAAAGAAATTCTTATTTTTGCAAGTGTTTATATCTCTCAGAGGGTTTAGAGAAAACAAATATGAGGTTGGAATGCTATTGAAAATGATAATTTCAAAAAGCTATGAAAAGCTAGAAATTTACTTGTGTTTGTTTCTGTAAGCCTAGCTGGTGATGTTAGCTACAGCTGTCTGCTTTACAGGAGGTGTTGCTGATATTGAATGAATAGCATAAGAGAATTGGTTTTCTTTCCCTCTCAGTCTTTTTCTTGGTTTATTCTCCTGAAATAAAATGGCTGTTTTTCAAGACCACTTTGTGCAAGTGAGATTTTAAGTCTCAGCTCTCATGAGGCACACACAACTCTAAATCAAGGGGTTCTGGTTCAAAAGCACATTAGTGAAAATGTTGAGACACTTGCTGGGAAAAAAACTTTTCTATTTTATCTCCAGGTCTGAGGTTGGCTGGTCTGTACTTGTCCACTTGCCAGTTTACTGCCTATATTATGTCTTAACTCAGCTCTGTATTTGAAGAGGAGTTGCCACACAACCATCTTAAACTTTTCCAAAGTAAGTAAGAGGTACCCTAGAGGTGCAAAGGAAACTGAATATTTCAGACACCAGGCCTACGAGAGTGTTAGGTTTTGTGATTAAACGTTAATTTCTGTAAAGAAAGGAGCATCAGATGAATGCAAATAACTTAAAGCCAGAGATTCCTGGCTTGGACTGATTGTTCTTTGATAGCCCTGGGAATATCCATGGGCAGGGTATGAGACCCATCAAGAGAAGACAACAAAACAGGTTTTTCCCAATTGCCATGCAGACTCTGGGGTGGGAGAGTACTGCCTAAAGATGCATGGAACTCAGGGGATGGAGGAAAAAAAAATTGGGGATTGTGCAATACTTACAATGGGGTGTTTAGGGAAAGGACCAAAGGTGGGAAAATGTACAGATCAAGGTGGATCAGGGAAGAACAAGCAGGGGTGGGGAATGATAAAGGAGACATGCAACATGCAAACAGGTTGCTGGTCAGTCTAGCCCTGCCCTGTGCTCAAGCACCAGTCTGCCCCATCTGGCTAAAATTCCTTTCTAAATATTTTTCCTCCTGGTTGAGGGGACTCTTATCTCTCTTCAGCGTGGAGGTCTAAGTGGCAGCCACTAAAGAAGGGGCCACAGGGTTGTAGGAAAGGGGAGCAAAATCAGGCAATTAGTGCTGTTTGTATGAAGGCTACTGTATTTGTCACAGAATGGTTGAGTTTGGAAGGGACCTCTAGAGATCATCTAGTCCAACTCCCCTGCTCCAGCAAGGACACCCAGAGCGCAGGGCACAGGGTGGCATCCAGGCAGGTTTGGAAGATCTCCAGAGAAGAAGATTCCACAGCCTCTGTGGGCAGCCTGGTCCAGGGTTCCGTCATCCTCACAGGAAAGAAGTTCTTCCTCATGTGGAGATGGAACTGCCTGGGTTTCAGTTTGTGCCCATTACCCATTGTTCTGTCACAGGGCACCACTGAGAAGAATATGCCCCCCTTCTCTTGATGCCCTCCCTTCAGATATTTAAGCATGATTTCCACTTGGTGAAGCCATACTGATGACTCCTGATCACCTTCTTATCCTTCACATGCCTAGAGATGGTCTCCAGGATGAGCTGCTCCATCACCTTTCCAGGGATGGAGGTGAGGCTGACTGTCCCAGAGTTTCCTGGTCCTCCTGCTTGCCCTTTTTGAAGACTGGAGGGATACTGGCTTTCTCCCAGTCCTCAGGCACCTCTCCTGTTCTCCATGACCTTTCAAAAGTGATGAAGAGTGGCCTAACAATGGTGTCGACCAGCTCCCTCAGCACTCATGGGCACATCCCATCAGGGTCCAAGGACTTGTGTATCTGCAATTGCCTGAAGTGGTCCCTAACTGTCTTTCTCTACTGTGGCCA